AGGGTCACGAAGGGATATACTACCCGTCGTTATAGAGTCTATAATGACGGAACATATTACCGTCATTAACATTTACGACGGTAATTATCACCGTCGTTACCATCAGTGACGGGGATATTTTCCCGTCGTTACTATCAGTGACGGGATATTTTCCCGTCGTTACCATTAGTTACGGGAATATTTTCCTGTCGTTACCATTAGTTACGGGGATATTTTCCCATCGTTAAAGAGTAATTAATAACGGTTGGATACCGTCGTAAAAGTCTCCATAATGGGTAATTAGTAACCCATCAACGACGGTGCTTTACCTTCGTTGATGAACAAAATACGGTTTATAAAACCGTCATTGTAGACTAATTTCTAATATACATTAATAATAATTTTTTTCATTCATAGAAACTATCAGATTATTCTCAACCTGACACTAAGATTCACAAAAAAATATATTAAAAATACCCAATAATGAATAAGAGAAGAGAAAATAAAAATTTTATTCATTAATAACATCAATAAATAAAATTCCACCATCCTCAAATATTCAATACTAATAACAAGAGTTAATATCCTAATTGTTCCAAAGAAAAATACATGAAAGTATCTAAAATAAATTAAAATAAAAGTTTGGGGAAGACACATTCTTTCATCTCTAATCATCGTCAAAAGAAGACTCGAGCTACCCCCCTCCTAATCTTGCATGGATAGCCTGAAATTTTTTAAAAAAATCACATAATTAAGAAATATCAATTAAGCAAATATTATCTTATTAAGTAAAAATCACATTTTTAGTGCAAGTAATCAATCATAAAAGTATATAAGAGATTTTACAAAAAATAATTACCTAGTCCTGCACATGTTCTCGAGTTTGAGGAGTCAATGAAGATGATTGCCTAAAAAAAGTTCTTGCATAGCTTTCACTTATGACTCCAACTCAGACATCATTTATTGTTGTTGCTCCTGCTCATCTAAGCGTTGTTGAAGCATCTGGTTCTTTCTCTTTTCTTCTATAACCTGTGCTTCCAGAACAGATTGACTAGGGAGTGGTCCTCTCAAATCTTTCAAAGTAGTTCCTGCATAGATTTGACATCTGTGTCTATCAGATGTAGTAGATAACAACGGATAATATAGACTATCAATTTTGTTCTTATGTCATGAATTAAATCAAACTACCTGCATCTGCTTCTGAATGTAGATTACCTCAAGCTCAAAATCTATCAAAAAAGAAGGATCCCAAAATATGTGGTGCAAAGTATTTTATTTTTCTAAAACATCACCTTTTATGCCTTACAACATTCATGAAAATTCAAGTTGTTTATTATCACTATTCCCTGAAACCTCCATCACGTGATGTTCTTTCCTTATCTGACTTTTTGAATAATCGAGCAAAATATCTTTAGAAGGATCATCCTCATGGAAAGCATGTCTAAGAACCTTGCTATAATGCATCAACAAACAAGTTAAAGAACAAGAGAAAATACCCAACTCCTTTTGATCGTCTTGAGTTTCGATCCATGATCAGCCGCACGTCTCTAACCTGGAAGCCATAAATTAATTGTTTATAAATCTGACATCATTAATGAAGTAATACTTGTACAGTTTGCAGCTTAAAAATGCATTGACATGCTTACTACACATAACATCACCCTAAGGACTGCACCCAATATGGTGAGCAATCAGACTTCCAATTCTTTTCACACTCACCAAATAAAAGAATGTTGAGCCACAAAAAAGTCATTATAATAGGCCTCATTGAAGGCACATGAGCATTTACTGCAATAAGAAGCAAGTGTATCTTAATGTATGTATTGAAGATATTGAAATGGCGAATTGCCTACCAAAAGCTTTAATCCTAATAAGATAACAAGTTACGAAATATTTTAAATAATAAACTGAATAGGGGAGATAAGTATACTTGTACTACTATATGTAAGCTCAGATACCTGTGGTTGCATGATACATGTAAATATCAGAACACTCTTATCAGATGGATGTGTTATGTCAATACAAGAAGCTAAATCTAACAAATTAAAAACGACCATCAACCTCATATTATTGTGTGATAAGAGGACCAAGTAACTCATTCCACTAACCTTTCCTGCTTTTGAGAAGAATTCATAAACATCCCTCTCTGTCGCTTTCAAATGCATCTAAAATCACAAAAGAGAAATTTTTTAGAAGTTGGCTGTGTATGGATGAAATGAATACCCCTTTCCAATAATAAATGAAGTGAAAATATAAACTACAAACTATTACTTGATAAGCAAAACAGTTCTCTGGTCCCTTTTAGGATCAGCTTCTGGTTCTGCAACTTCTTTTTTCTCTTTGAATCTCCTACACAAAGATGTAGATAGTTTATTAACAAAATTAAAATATTCAATACTCAAAAACAACATATTAAAATAATATAGAGCATTCGTTCATAGGTAATAGGTCTAAAATAATATGACCAGTTCATGTCAGGTAATCGGCAATTTTCTTGTTATAAGAAATAGATACTTAGATGACAGAGAAAATATAGGCTAAAATATGTCTATATAAATTTGATATGAGGCACTTCAGACCACAGTTAGAGTGCGTGCAAGTTTTAGTTTTTCTAGTCAGTGAACACAAAAAATTGGCAATGATATCGATAACAAATCCTTTTTCTCATTTAAAAAAAAATTACGGCTACATGTATCCCATTCTTTCCATTAAGAGTTATTGCTTCTACCAAATTAACCATTACACATCCTTCTTAATTGTTTTCCCACATATTCTAAGCCTACCTCCAGTTACCCTTCCTCCACTAATTTTAATCTATCACTTCTTCTCATTATAGTGTTTAGTGATCTCATTTGAACATGATCAAACCATATGAACCAATTCTCTCATTTTATCTCAATAGAAGCAACTTTTAACTTTCTATGAATGCACTTAATTCTTGTCCCATCTTTTAGTGTACAACCATTTGTCTATCGCAATATTCTCATTTCTGTCAAACTCAATTTTTGCACATACTTTAAATTATTTAACATTCTGATCTATAAGTAATGTTAGTAGTTCTCTTATAGAAAGATCCCGTCAATTTCATTTTATATGATAGCTACAGGACCAATAATAGTTTATAGCAAACAATGCAAGTAATAAAACATTCAATTACGCTACTCTACTACTCTGATTTATCCCTCTAAATTGAAATTATATGCATGCATCTAACAATGAAATTTGAATGCCAAGCTCTAGAATGAAAGTTTAACAAACAAAGAATGACAAAAATAGAGGGTGTATAAGTGCAAAGTATAATAA